TTACTGTAGTGCGAAAGCACATTAATATAATGCACGAGTGTGAATCTCTCCGCTCGTGCGTGGATTTCTTTTGCTCTCGCACAAAATCGGACGCACGCGCTCAGATACACGCTGCCCGAGAGAGTGCGCGCACTTAAAACGTGTCTCTCCTCTCACTCAAACTGTGTCCTGTGCACTCTCAAAGCTCTGTGCTCATGCACTATAGATATGAATTATTTTCGCACCTCAATCTTTAATCTTAAATCTTCTGATTTAAGACAGAACTATTTAGATATGGGTCAGATGCACTATTCCCTAAACCGATACTTACGATTTGGAGACCAAATATAACACTATAATGAATGTTTCATATTTGCCATAACATTACTACATTCTATTTTATGGGATTAATGCATTTGCAGACAATGTAATTACATGTAACTGTCATATAACTGTATATGCACTGTTTTAGAGGAGAGTGCCATTGAATGTGTAGCTAATATTAAGTGGATTTTCATGAAAGAAAAAAAAGGGGGAAAAAACACATCAGAACTGACACCAAACACTGGATTAAAAAAAAACTCCCAATAAATGTCCCAACAGCGATGCTATTAGAGCATGTATTGTATTGCATTCGCAGAAAAGATCAATATACAAACATAAAAGTGATATGGTAAAACAAAGTAGCTACAATAACCAGTTTATGTTAAAACAAAAATACAACAATAAAAAATCAAGGAAAGGCCCTGCACAAATCTGTTTTGAGACTAGGCTGCTTTTTAAAAGTGCATAGTGATAAGTTTTGACAACGTTTAATTGAGGTGCGAAAATAATTCATATCTATAGTGCATGAGCACAGAGCTTTGAGAGTGCACAGGACACAGTTTGAGTGAGAGGAGAGACACGTTTTAAGTGCGCGCACTCTCTCCGGGCAGCGTGTATCTGAGCGCGTGCGTCCGATTTTGTGCGAGAGCAAAAGAAATCCACGCACGAGCGGAGAGATTCACACTCGTGCATTATATTAATGTGCTTTCGCACTACAGTAATGCGCTCTCGACATTTGTCATTAAAATAACGCCATAGCAGAGGATTCCGCTTGGTCGTAAAGCCTTCATCAGCAGGCTACGTTCACAAATAAAACAATATTTTGCGCTAAAATAATGATTCATTATCAATTGAGAAGTATTCAGTATTAAGTATTAATCAGTATTAAAGAATAGCAGAGTCCACACTACAGCTATAACGATAAAGGCACAGAGAAACGATATCTTTGGAATCACTTTCAGAACGATTTGTTTGCAGCTGATGAACGATACAAACCCAATCAGAATCCAACATGCGCTCAGAATAAACAGACGATATCGCTAATATCTTTATCGTTATAGTTATCGTTCTTGGTGTAAACGGGGCTGTCACAGACAGATATTCTGCTCTGAATACAAAGAAAGACACAACACACGTTACACAGACACATGCAATCTTCCTCACAGAGTCTCCAGCACTGCTTCAGTCTTTAAGCGACTTGAAATAACAAGCCCACATAGTGAACGCACAGCGCAGTTTTACAGCTGAATAAAAAACCAGCAACTCTCCGTTAACCCCTAACTCTACCTACCTGAAATGAATACGAAGACAAGAAAGAATGTCATCTTTGGGTTCCAGAAAACCTTCCAGATTAGTTTCAATAGACAGCGCTTGAATGTAAAAACCCTTGTCGGTGTCCCGCTACTTATATTGTGGGCTTGATCTGTCGACTTCATCAGCCACAGCACTGCACACCAAATACTGAAACTTTCCCCTTTTAAAGCAGCTGTGACTGAGGTCCCACTCTTGCGCTGAAGATGACGCCCAGCTTTTGGTGCGTAGTACTTACTTCCTTTTGAGCACCGATCGGCTTTTGTATTGGAGCAATGCATGTTAGTTAGAAATATGCAAAAAAAAAGTTTACTATTGTATCAGATAGTCCTTTTTGTGACATCCTGGGTCCAGTTTCACAGCCAACCAAACTGCTACTCAGGAAAACGACTTACTTAATTTCGACCGTCGATGTGAGCTTGTATACCATATTGTAGCTCTACTGTTTCCTAAACATGCCATAGGCAATGCACAGCATTAATCTACGTCAGATTTTTTGTTATTAATCTAGCTCATATTATATAAATATGTTTTGCGAATACTAAATTAGTTCAGATTCAATAGCCTACTTTCAGATGGTAAAATTCTTGACTTACTTGACTTACTGCGATAGAGAAGGTTCCCAACATGGAGTAAAACGACTGTCGAACAGGCAGCATCATGGCTGCAGGAGTTACAGAAGAAAGACAGATCGGTGTGTGACATCAAAGTACCGCGATAGCTCCGTATGCTTTCGAGTCGCTCTCGCGATACTTTGATGTCGAACTAAATTCGGTTGCAGTGGGTGCACCATGCATGAATTTTGTTGTTCAGTGTTAAAGCGTTTGATAAAGAGTTGATGTAATGCGGTTTGATTTTTTTGGTAGTTATGTTACATTCTGTGTCGAGAAATCCCGGCAGCTTTCAGTGAATCAGGGGTTCGAATCTAAATTCAGTCCTCTGCCCTGTTAAACCCAGCCGCTTTCCAGTTTTAGACTAATATTGCCCCTCCTGCCTATTATGAGCAAAGATTTGATTTACACACATTTGATAGCACCATTCATTTCAAGCCAATACGTTTATTACACAGTTATGTTATATTATGTTATGCAATCGTTATATATACACCACTAGAAAATACACATTCATTTAAATAGATTGGTCTTAATGGATTTTTTTTTTTCCTTCACCGTTATTTCTAAGCCTTAACTGGCGCAAAATACAGTGTATGGGATGACATCAGGTCATCTGTAGTGCATCTGCTTGTTTTACACTCTTTGGTCACCAGGTGATACTGTGAGCAACTGAAGCCTCGAGAAATGAACCCTTTTGTCAACCACTTGGCTGAACACTTCATTGCTTCATGAGGCTTCATCTCGCCATCACTATGTTCTGGTTTTAGGCAGTGGTGTGCAGAGGCTTCATGAAACACTGAAACAGACGAAGCAAATGTGCAACAATTCGACACCCGTCTCTACGGTGACATCTAGTGCTCAGGTTCAAGTATTGCTCTGAAACAGCACTGACAGCGAATCAGTTAAAGGCACAATATGTAGAAAAACCACTAGAGCAGTGTTATATATTTTGCTGACTTGTCTACTTGCATTATCCCAAATATTTCGAAGAATGTTTAAATCCAGAGAAATAAGCGATTTTAACTAGTGACACGGACCGTGTCT